GTTGTCAGTAGCAATAGCGTGAGAATCAGCTGTGTAGTTCAGATGAAAAAACAAATATCTGTAAATGTTCCTTCCTGAAAATTCGCACAAAATGCATAATTTTAAATAGAAAGTTTTTCCGCACAAAGTAAAAAAAGACAAATTTTGGAAATTTCCAGTGTTTCGAAAATTTTCACAGCTTAGAAGAAGTTTGCAAAAATACAAGCACAAGTTGCAAATTTTTACTTCTGCGCCACTGCTTACCTTGTAACGCAGCTTTTTTCCAGGTGCCGCAGATGGGTCCTCAATGGCTTTTGCAAAAATCCGGCTTACGCAAACAAACGACACATGTGTAAAAGATCATGCAATCTTTGTTGATCGTCACAATTATTTACAAACCACTTTAAATGAAATGAAATAATTTCTTCGCTGTTACTGAAGTGGAAAATGCGTTTTGCGCTGCAGCAGTTGCGCAAAACGCACACTGTCAAGACCATGTCTGTGTGTGTGCGTATGATGTGTGCGTATGTGTTTGTGTGTGTGTGTGTATGTTCCACCAAGGTGCGTTTTATCAGGGATTTTCAAATCGGAAACTGGGAGAGCTAGAGAGAAGTGGATCCTCTACCTACGTATAATCTCGAAAACTCATATTCAGCGCCCGCGTAGACTAGATTTCACAAACGATCACGCTAAAGTTTTAGCGCCTAAATTAATGACACAGGAAGCAAAAGCTAGGAAGCTAAAATTTTAGAAGGATGTTTTTTGTCCGCGTATAACTCGGTAAAATTAATTTCAGCCTTCACCTGCGCCTGGATTACTCGTACGGACTATTTCAACTTTGGAAGTTTGTAGGTTGAACTAGTGTGCATGCCCTCTGTGTGTATAAGTGTGTAAGTGTTGAAACACCTAGTTATATATATTTGTAATTATATACAACTCAGGCTGGGAAGCACCAAACCTGCCGGTGCGATCATGCGTTTTTGCACTAAACTCGGGGGTCGCTAATAGCAGGAATAATTCCTGCGCTGCAGCCAAACACATACTGGCCATGCTTTGGTACATGAAAGTTTTAACTCCGAAATTAATAATTCGTGAAGAACAAAAATTTCTATGCATATCCAACACCATGCGCCTTCTGACAGCAAGGTTTTCCTGGATAATGTTGCACAGCCGCCTGTTAGACAGGGTTTATAAGCGTTCATTGTACAGAGTTACACAAAATTCAGGATCGCACCAGCTGGATTGGTGCGCCCCGCTATTTTTTTAGTGCTTCAATTTTACACAAATTTATGAAATCTTTGCCAAGCTCCTTTTTCTGGACAATGTGGAAGGAGGGCTATTCGTTATACAGGATTGGTTTCCATCAGGTTAAGTTTCGAATTTGATGAACGATAAGAGTGCTAAACTTTGAGCGGCAGCACGGGTCACTGTCGGCGAAAACGAATAATATGCCAAAGAGGTTTTCGTTTCATTGGCAATCAGCAAATGTTTTGACTTGTGACGTTGTGACGTTCACAAACGAAAGACAAAATTCGATGCACGTCTGACTGCACTTAACCGTCAGGCGCATCTCTTTCACCGAAATTCATGACAAAAATAGTTCGGTCAATATCTACAATGCCTAAAAGTGTTCCACTTCCATGCCAGTGTATTTTTTTCGGAAGGCTGCAACCGTCGTCCTTGAACAAAAGTGGATCCTCTTTTGTTTGACTGTTAATTAATGATGCTCTAGATGGCCATACTTCAGCGGTAAGCTGCAAAGGGACTCAGCAACAATTATTAGCAGCCTGACACAATAGATATGCAAAGATCCAAAAGATTTTTTTTCACCAAAAATCTTCTAGACACAAAAACCTACGCAATTCATTCAAAAAGAAAATTCCAACTGTTCAACAAAAAAAAAAACATATAAAATAGTCACTCAAAAAAACATCTACAAACTGCTTGTACTCGCACAAGACAAGTCCCTAAGAATTCGTTCATTCATTTCGGTGGCAAATCAATGCCAGGAAGTTGATTCTACTATTAGCTCATACCGGAAAGATGAATCCGTTGAAAGAAGAAACCATCGTCAGTTCTATCTGCAGGGAAGGCGGAGAAAAAGGTGCTTCCAGCAATTGCTGCCAGTCCCGCACCTTCTACAATACAATGGCTTTTCATGCGAGACGAGTAGGGAGAGGATTTTGACTATAACTAAAAGATTCCATCAAAAAATTAAGGACTGATATAGTTTTTTGCTTGTAAATTTATCGCTTTTCTAGACAGGAACTGGTCGCTCAAAAAGTACCTCATTGAAACAGAGAGCATAATTTTTGACAAACATTCATTTATCAGCCACTCTGTTGCCAGTCAGAATTGGCGATTGCCCAGTCAGCTCAGTCATAGCAATGGGCGAACTTCGACGCTACTTCCTTAGCCGGCTTTGGAACCCACTGCCAAAACACTGATAGATATTCCCTTAAAGGAATTATTTTTTCAATAGTATTACAGCCATCGGTCAGAATTTCTTTTGTCTTTCCTAATCAGCATCCTATCGCAGCCTAAAAATCGTTTGCTCAAGAAATGCCTGCTCAAAATACATCAAAGAAATCTCGAAACGGTAAACCCACGTGCTGCCGGCGAGAGAACCGTTGAGCTGGTGGATCCTTCAGAAGGTGAAATAAACACCAGTAACTAAAGTGCGACTGCAGTCAAGCAATACAGCGTTGATTAGAGTAACTGGGAAAGTTGTCAGCGGGCAGTTGAAAAATCAGACTATAAGTTAGAGCTGAACCAGGTTCGCTTTTATTCTATCACACGCCACAGCACAGTACGTTGAGAGACCAAATTTCTCCTTCTCCACACAACTATTTAATAATGCTTGCTTTTAGTTGTGCGCAACATGCCCCGTCTGGCGATTTTTATGCGCTTTTGCTGTGCAACGCTAGCAAAAACGCATTTCATGAATCAGGCAACGTAGAAAGCTAAAACTTTGCAGGGATATTGTCTAGGCACGTGCGAGATAAAAATTTTAAACTCAGCCGTCTAGCTCTCCAACCACAGCCTCAAACAACTCCTGAACCTAAAAATCGTTAGCAACTCGGATCTGAACCGCAACTGTATATGCAAATGAACATGGACCGTTCAAGCAATACTTTCGATTTTTCAGTGAACTGAAAATTTGCATATTTTCAAAAATTCGCTCGCAGCTCGGACTTTAACCGCAATCGTATATGTAAATGAACGTGAATTTTTTGACAAACGACCGCTCGAATAATACTTCCACTTTTTAGTGAACTGGAAATTTACATTTTTTCAAAAAATTTGCATTTGCCATTTTCTCACAAAGCGAGCATTTACCCAAAAAACGACCGTACTTCATGCAAAAAACCGGTACTCATGCACCTGGATGTCCGTACGATCTGTGAGTTTAGCGCAAAAACGCATGATCGCACCGGAGAGCCTGGTGCTTTCCAGCCTGAGTTTACTTTTAAACAACGACTGTTAAATGAAAATTGTACATTTACTTTTGCAAAATTTATGATGATTTGACCGCAACAGGTAGGTGTAAAGCAACAGCAATTCGCACAAATAATGATCTGAGTAATTCAAGTCCGGTGCAAAAACGCATGGCCGCACTGGTCCGCCCGGTGCGCTCCAGCCTGGGTTTTTTATGTGACAGACTGACTTAAATTTGGCGTTCGTCCGGGAAATGTCATTCGTTCATGCCGACAAAACTAGTAAGATATGAACTGCCAGAAACGCTAAGATCGCCCGAACAATCAGTGGAGCGCTTTGATGTTGATATATGGTGTGTGGAACGAGCATGGCTTCCTTGCAGTCTTCGGCATTCGTCCGACATATGCGCTACCGTCGGTCAGATTCGTTCTCGCAAGCACCACTCACAATCTAATTCAATTTGAAATATGATTGATAGCAATCGTTAGCTTAAATATAATTGTTAGCTTATTAATTTTTATGCGTTTCTGCATACATGCACATGCAAAAAGCATATTGGTTAGGGCTGTCTGTGTGCGTGTCTGTGTGTTCGCACTTTTTGTCACCCACTTTCAACTCTAAAACCAGAAAAGCCAGAAGGCAGAAATTTCGGAAGTATGTGCCTACAACATGTGCGATCTTTCCATTTTAATATTATCACCCATGTACGTCCAGATGCCGCGTGCGGAAACCTTAAAAGATATGCAGGGTTTTTGGCGGTAAAGCGATCTCGGGAACCAGACAAGATGGAGAGCTGGAGCCTCTATGCATGTGTGAGCTAAAGATTTCAAATTCAGCCTCTAGGACTGTGTTGCTTTCTTGTATAGACATGTGAAAGTTTTGCAGGGAAAATTGATAACTCGAGAAAGCTAGAAAGCTGAAATTTTAGGAGAGTGTTCCCTGTCCAAGTATAACTTAAATATTTCAAACCCAGCTTGCAGATATGCGTGATTCTCACGTGCGGGACTTTAAAGTTTTGCGGAGAACTTGCTTACTGAACAACAAAATCATTTTCAGGATACGACCGCTAAACGGAAATTGTCCATTTCCTTTTCTCAAAATTTATGACGATTTATAACAACCACTCATGCAGTGCGCGACCTGAGTACTTCAAGTTTGGTGCAAAAATGCGTCATCGTACCAGCAAGCCTGGTGTGTTCCGGTCTGGGTCCTTCACTGAAGCCAAAAGCTTAACAGCATTCCAGCGCAGCTAAGCCTGAGTGCGTAACACAGAGTTTGATCGTTTGTCTCTCCGTTCATACATAATTTATGAAAGATTAATCTCAACAACCAGTCTGTACGACTACTACTACTACACGACGGCAGGCTGTGGCAGCAAAACCAACCGAATGTCATTTGCCGTTGCCTGCAAGCTTTTCATCTGCTTCATTCCCTTACACTTAGCTGTATCCAACAACCACTCATTTCTAAGCAGTGATGCGCTGCATCAGCCAGTCACCGAAACCGTTTCAACCATTTTTATGGAAACGACTAGCCATCCGCCTTTTCCAGGTGCATCTTTTAGAAACCAAGCAGCAGTTGAGTCAGATGCAGGACTCGCCGAAAACGTCGAAACTGATCTTTCCAGTGTTAAAAACACGCTTTATTATCGCCAGATGGAGTGGTTCATTGGTGAATGGTTGGAAACAGTGAATGAATCAATCGACGATCTCAGTCAAAGTCCAAACCCATATGAGAACTTAGACGCTGAGCATAGTGTCCTGGACTTTGAGACTATGCTTTTTGCAACCGAACCAGACGCTGCCCAAGCTGCGGATACAACAACGACGCCATTTATGGATCCGGATGTTCACACCGATCAGCCAGAACTGTGGATTTCGGAAATTGATAGCGACGCATTTACAGCTTTGATTTTGAAAAACGCTCAATCCAGTGGACTGCAGTCAGCACCTGATTTCGAACAGCTGGAGCACATCCAACAGAAGCCCGTCACTTCCTACGGCACAGCAGCACTGCGCAGCCAACCTCTTCTTACTGACATTACAGCAGAGCTTCCTTCAAATCCAATGGATTCATCCAGAAACAGTCGTGTATCGGGAGATTTATCTTTGATTCCTTCCACTGAAATTGATAGCAGATCGATTTCGGCACTTCTGCAAAGCCCTACCACTGATAAACTCGGACCGGATGCAACTTGCCTGCACAGTTCTGCCAGTCGATCAAGTGTATTCTCCATGCCAAAATCCATCGATTCAAAACTTGAACCGAATTCATTTCTTTCTACAGATCCTTGCACATCACAAGGCGCTGCTGGAGGTGCGATAACAACAAATCATATTATCCTGAGCTCCGTTGCCTGTAATCTTGTGTCAAATTCATTAGGCAAACACATCGCCAACAAATTGCCAGGAAAAAAATCAGGATGTCGTACTTTGCCAAGCTATAATCTGATTCCTCCTGTCGTGAATCATGTACCAATTTGTAAACCGATTATGATAGTACCGCTGCATTTTGTCGCCAAACAACCGACCAGTTCTAAAAAATCAGCCAAAAAACTAGTCACTTTCCAGCTAGTTCCTATCAAAACTTCAGTTCAAACTGGGTTGACTACCACTGCACCAGGCGGGCCAGTCCGCACTGCGCAGCCCTCAACAAGCAATAGTACGAAATCAACCAAACGGTTCACCTGTGGAAGATGTGGCAAGCTATTTTTTGCCTACGTTGCTTTCAAAAAACATCTTAACAGCCATAACAAGAAAGGCGAATATCGATGCAACTGGCCCAGCTGCGGCATTCTCGAAAGAGCCTACAGAGACCTCTCACGCCACTATCTGGAACATTTGTCGGGGAGTGATTTATACCTATGTGACATTTGCGGTAAAGTTTGCGACAGCCGATCTCATTTGAACTCACACAAGCAATCAATGCATACGAAAGGTGAATTTTGTTCCCGAAAAATAGCATTGTTTTTGTAACTTAAGATCAGACGTTAGTCACTGAGTCTCGGTAAGCAGCAAGGACGTACTCAGCCTAAAAAAGCTCAGCACACATGCTCAATTTTATGCCGGTTAAATGAAAACCCACTACAACATGAGGTAGGACTAGCACAGTAGCACACTGACCAAAGTAATCGCCCACTGGCAAAGCTGTCCATGGTTTCCTGTTCCGAACTTCTCTCAAAGATGTCAAGAACTAGCGCTCCGCTGTCTTACGTCTTTAGCATCAGCACCAATTTCTCATCGAAACAAATTTTCTCGGTTGACGCCCTGCACCATCTGTTCTCAGTCTGACTGTCGTGCAACTTCCTAGAACGGCAACGCATAAGCAACTGTTGAGAATGCTTTGGTATTTTTTTTAGCTATTGTAAGCAGCAGCATTTCTCCTTGCCATTGGTGTAACTAGTAATTTCCTGTTCTTCATTTTCAACCTCTTTCATCCACACAGTTCTACAGGGATATTTAGTTCCATCCTTCCATCACACTAGCGCCTTTCCTGTGCTCTTTTGATGCTGCTTGGACACCATCCAATAATGAGCCTAGCAGTTTTGTCACATGACCGGCCCAACTCTTCTTTCTAACTTATGGATAACAACGCTCATGCAGAGACTAGAATGCAGTACTTCACTGGAAATTTGCAGCAGTTTGCCGACACTTGTCATGATTCGTCAGGTCATGACTAATTTTAATGCGTTTTTGCAAATACGCACATGCAAAAAAACATATTAGCAAGAGGCTATCTGTCTGTGTGTGCGTGTCTGTGTGTTCGCACTTTTTGTCATCCACTTTCAACTCGAGAACCCGAAAAGCTAAAAGGCTGGAGCTTCGGGAGTATGTGTCTAAAATATATGCAATCTTCCCGTTTTAATATCATCACCAGCGTACACCTGCGTGCCACGCACGGTTGGCTTAAAAAATGTGCAGATTTATTGGCGAGAAAGTGGTCGCGGGAACCAGGAAGGGTAGAGGGCTGAAATTTTGCAAGGATATTCTCTGTGCATTTGTGAGCTAAAAATTTCAAATTCAGCCCCTAAGCATTCGTGGTTCTCACATACGGCAACATGAAATATTTAGTGGGAAGATGCTAACTCGGTAATCAGAAAAGATGGGGGGCTGAAATTTTGAGGAGATGTTCCCCGTTCACGTACAGCTTAAAGATTTCAAATTCAGCCCCCAGATGTGCGTGGTACTCACGCGCGAGCATACGAAATTTTTGGTGGGAAAATTGCTCACTGAACAGTTAAATGATTCTCAAGGAACAACCGCTTTGACTGTCATAAACGAAAATTACTCATTTTCATTATGCAAAATTTGCGATGACTTACGGTAGTGAGCGCAAAAGATAGATTTAAAGCAATAACCTATCAGCGACTAAATTATTTTAGGCACGGCGCAAAAACGCGTGATCGTACCGGCAAACCAGATGCATTCCAGCCTGGGTTTTTTGCACACTAAATGCGATGCTGAGTAATTTACCTACATACAGCAGAAACCCAGGCTGGAACGCACCGAGCGAGCCCGTGCGGTCACGCGTTTTTGCACTGGACTTGAAGCACCCAGGTCATTAACTGCATGAATGGTTGTTGCCTTACACCTACCTTTTGCGGTCACTAACTTAAGTCACCACGAATTTTGCATAAAGTAAATGTACAATTTAAAAGTGAGAAATTTTTTTGCCAAAACTTTTAAGTGCTCGTAAGCAAGAAACACGCATACCTCAGGGCTGAATTTGAAATACTTAAGACAGGGAACATTCCCCTAAAATTTCAGCTTTCTAGCTTTTCTCGTTCCCGAGTTAGTAATTTTTCCACAGAAATTTTCATACGCCCTTACGTGAATACCAGGAATAGTTTCGGACTGAATCTGAAATACCTGAGTGTACTTGGACATGAAACATCCCCCCAAAATTTCAGCCTTCCAGCTTTTCTGATTACGGAGTTAGTTATTTCCTCGCCAAAATTTTCACGTGCCCGCACATGGGTACTCCATAAGCCTGGAAGATGAATTTGAAATTTTTAGATTGCACATGGACAGGGAGCATTCCCCCAAAATTTCAGCTTTCTAGCTTTTCTGGTACCCGTTTCAGCTGTTTTCCCGCTAAAACTTTCGTGTGGTTCCCGAGATTGTTCTCCCGCCAAAGGAATTTGCATATTTTTTTAAAGCGTCCGTACGCGGCACCCAGGCGTTCGCGGGGAATAAAATTAAAGTGGTGCAGGCACATACTCCCAAAGTTTCAGCCTTCTAGCTTTTCTGGCTCTCGAGTTGAAAATGAGTGACAAAAATTGCGAACACACAGACACACACACACACACACACACACA